ACTGGATGACAACTAATCAAGGAGAGAAGCAACCTAGAACTAAGGAGAAACTTCCTGACAGTGAGAACAATTAACCAATGGAACAACCTGCCTCCAGAAATTGTGGATGCTCCAACACTGGAAGTTTTCAAAAAGAGATTGGACAACCATTTGTCTGAAATAGTATGGGTTTCCTGCCTGAGCAGGATTTGGACTAGAAGACTTCTGAGGTCCCTTCCAAATCTGTTATTCTGTTATTTCTCTCCTCTCCTCTCCTCTCCTTTCCTCTCCTCTCCTCCCACTTCAAATAGTTGTGTGGCTATTCTGAAGAGCCTGGCAGCATTCCAAGCATAAAGCATATCAATGGAATGGCACTAGGTTATACAGTATCATTGCTCCCAGGAAATGTTTTGAAAAAATGATGGTTGGCTTCAGTATTTAACAAATCATTTGAAGTAACACCTGAAATTCTTAGAATTGATCCATTGAATGTTTTCTCCATTTCCACAGAGAAGGGTGATAATTCACCACAGCCTTAGTTTGAACTCCTGTTAGATTGCCAGTGTGTGGACTCCGATTGCCAGGAGCTCCCATTATTCAGATTTCAGACATACTTCTATTTCATGAACAATTTTAGCATTTGGAGAAGAAACGTAATATACTTGGTTTCCAAGAAGGAAGGAAAAAAAGGATCTATTGACAAAGCAAACCCAAGTTTAAAGATTTCTTGGAATCAGGGGAAAAAAATCTTCACACTCATTTATATGCGAAATATATAAAAAGAAAAATACCACTTGGAAAATACTGATAAGTCTTATCAGTTGTGGATTCTAGTGATTGAGGGGTGTGTATGTGATGCTTTTCCTGATTTGGGTGTTTGAATCGTGTACAAGTGTAGCTCCTGAAGTTTAGGACCAGTGTTGACACCCTTTGCTTGCCTGACACATAGCACGGACACATGTCTGAGATTTGAAAGTGAAAAATGTATTGCGTGATTCGTTTCTGCTTTGTGATATTTCAGCCAATTAAACTCTCTTTGGCTATCTGACAGGCTGCCTAATGTTCAGTGTTGAACTGAAAGCAAGGGAAGATTGTCCGTCTTGGCTTTTCTCAATTCATGTTTTGGTCTGCTACTCAGTATCTTTGTTTAGCTGTAATCATTACATAGAAAAGTGAAAAAAAAACAAGCAGAAGAAAAGATGAATTGATTTCTGCTAGAATCCAGTGAGAGGGAAAGTTCTTTATGCAGATTTTCTCAGGCTGAACACAATACATCAAAGACATTACCTTTTGTCTGGAATTTACATGAAGTTTCATTTCCCCACTGATAATATCTTTCCAAATGTAAACATTAAATGCTCAGTTGTCATTTTTAGATACACACAACAAGTAGTTTGAGGATTTATTTCTCCTCACAGGAAGCTGTGGCCATCACTCACAAGTTCTCATGAGGAGTTCCCAAACTTGTTCTTCATGGTTTACATTTGGGTAGTTCTGGTAACAAAGATAATGTACTCAACACTTTCTCATGGATGTGAAGATGAAGTTGGGGTTTAAAGGAGACCCTGTGATTGAGATGTACAGAGAAGAGCAATGCACTCATAAAAACTATTCTTCATAGAATTCTTAAATGCCCTACCACAATAATCATTGTAGGGATGCATGTTTAGTTCTAGCACACTTCAAAGAAACAGTGGCAGAAATGTTACTTCTCCCAGGGTAAGATTTAGTAGCTCAGCTGCTCCCGAGGTTATGCTGCTCCCTAAGTGATTTATTGTACCATAAATAGATTTGTTTTATCTCACAGTAGGAATACTCACAAATCTCCCTTTGATTAAATCTGTCAAAGAACTGATAAAAGGGTGGAGCTACTGTAAGCACTAAAGCCATCATTTCTTTCTTCTGCTGGACAGTTCGGTGCAGCAGAATTAAAGAGAGAGAGATTTAAGAAGTAATGGATTGTATAATGAGTTGAGAGTTTAGTAAATTCTTTTTAAGGCAAAGCACAATCAAGGATCACAAAGAGATTTCATGGCAGTCCTGTGCCAATAATTGTACAACAGTAAGAATTTTTGAAGTGGGGTAGGAGAGAGGAATCACCTACTTAAACCATTCTTCAACTTGGAATTTGTATACTAAAATACATGAGCATAAACTCCAATAACTTTAAAATCTGCAAGTCCAGGCTTGCAAAAATAGGGAATGTCAACTCCATGTTTATTCATTTATTAAAAGTTTTTATAGATTATTATAATCCCAAAGGATTGTGTTCAGAATTGTACATTGGGAGAAGGGAGTAGTGTGGTATTTCAAGTACCTCATTGCTCACTGGTTGAAGGCCGACACAGTTGTGATTCAATTTCCTTCTTCTATTCAATCCTTTCTGTTCCGGTTTGCTTGCACAATTAACAATGTATGTTTCACAGTCATTTATATATTATAGTATTATTTAAATGTATCTGCATGTTTACTTATGAACTCTTCATGAGATATGTACTAAGTAGCATGTTTTGCACAGAGCTATACACCCAAAACAGTCCTGGGAAGTTTACACTTTTTTTATTTCTCAGGATAGGTTCTGTGTAAAGCTAGCAAATGTGTCTAAAAAGTTTGTAAAGGCATAAATATCTCTCTTTTTAATTGAAAGAGTTATTTTTTCCTCCAAACATAAATAAAAAAAGAATTTAGCTTTTTATAAAAAATTATCTTTAGGAATGTAGTAGAATATAAGCTGCAATAAAAAATACATAAATTTCTAGAAAAACCTACCTGAGGCTAACAGCCTGTCAGTTATTGTTATTTTGGCAGTCCCCAGCAGATAGAAGGGAAGAAAGTCTTATTGAACATGACGTTGACTGCATTCAGCATGAGGGTCATAGAGTACATTATTCAAATCTGATGTGTGGCATATGGCATCAAGAAAGTAAGACAAGCAAAAAGAACTTAGAGATGGAGGAACCAAAGTCTTATTTGGTAGATGAATTCAAAAAGTAAGGTTTTGTTTAGAACAGTTGGAAACTACAAAATGAATATAAAAGAGCCTGGAGGAAAGGGACACTTTGAGAAGAAAAATTAAAAATGGGCAGAAGTACAGGTTCTGAGGAAAGGCTAAGTCAACCAAATATTATAGAAGAGATCTTATTACAAAAATGACTTGATAATGAAGAATGAACTGTACACAGACAGTTCTTTGTTTCCCTGGTCTAGCCATTCTTCTCAGTAATCTCCCCAGATATTACAACACATCCAATTCAATGGATGCAAAAGCTCTTATATATGCCTAATCAAGAATTATTTTACCCTCAAAGGAAGTGCAGCTCATTTCTGCTAAAATTTTAGTCAATCATTTGGAAGCATTGATCCGGTAATAACTGAAAAAAGCATGTGAAGGAACAGAACAATTCTATCTTATATACTGGAGTAAAAAACCCTGCAAGACTGAGGCTCTAACACCCTGAGACTATTTCCCCATATAGTTATCCCTCTGGCTCTTCAGTGTTTTGATTTTGAAGAGATCTTGAGAATCCTCATAACTGACTCTAAGGTTATTCCTCTTGCCAAATTTAAGTTACTATTGGTCTTGAGTTGACCAGCATAAAACTCACTATCCTTACCGCAATCCAGTCTCTTTTGGTTCTGTTTTAGCTCAGTGCTGACTTGTATTACCATTGTGTTGCATAAACAGGACATATTAAGCAACTTGCATGTCACCAACCGGTGGGAAACCATACAGAACACTGAATGCTTCTTGATGGAACTTGGAGAGGTATTAGAAAAAAGCAAAGCAAAACAAACTTTTAAAATAATTGTATACCTTGAACACCCTAATCTTATTATTGAATAAAGTGCAAGCAGTGAAAATGTCTCTGCAAACTAGCTAACTGAATTAAAATGAATTGTAATTAAGCTGTAGAAATATCAGAAGGTGAAACTTTCTGTCTCTGGTACAGCAGAGAATTGTGTTTTTCAGCATTAAATCTATAGAATGAGGGATCAATGTCCTTTAGATATTGCTGAACTAGTATCTCCAGTCATTGGACAGCTTGATTAGGCATGCTGGCAGCTGTGATTTAGCAACATCTGTAGGGCCCCAGATTCCCCATTCCTAAGATTTACCTTATTCAAATTTGTTATAACCCCCCATCACCAATGAATTCTTGTTGTGTTTATATATATATATAATTGTAACGTTTGAATGCATACAGTTTTCTAAATCAAATATACCCCATTTGTCTTTATAAAATATAGGAATTTGACCTAATCTTTCTTTATTCTTCTTGTCAACTTTTCCAATTCTCTTATTATCGCCTATTGACCTCTCAGTAATATGCAACCAGCAGTGATTAATTTGTCAAAGGATATACACCCCAAACTCAACCTAATGTAGTTTGGCTGATTCCAGTTTAAGCTGATAACCTGTGGCTCACAAGCCACAAAAGTCACAACTTGCCCATCCCTGCTTTAGAGAACCAAGGAAAATGACAAAAAGTGACTTTATAATATTCATCCATTGACCCAGAATTGTAAGAGCAGTCTTTTTCTTTTCTTTTGTATCTGCAAACAAATTTTCTTCCAGTTCAAGAATTTTATTGGCAAAGCCAAAATGAGGCTTTGAGTTATTTCATAATGTTAAAAACTAAAAAAATAAAGTAAAATAAAATGAGGTGAAGTAGACATTTTTTCATAGCAAATAAACAATGTCATATGAATTGTTTTGCTAAAGCTACACTTAAGCAAAAGATCATCATACATGTATTATATTTTCCTTTAAAAACTAAAAAAACTAAAAGTTTCGATATGAAAGACAAATCTATAATTTTTTTTAGCCACTCTGCATTAGCTGAAGTACCCATACTTTAATTTGGAAGCATTTGCTCCTCTTGTTCAGAAAGCTGTAGTTTGCTGTTTCTTCCATTTTTGGATAAAGATCTAATTTCCTGATGTGCCGTGAATGTATAGTAGCATCTTTGTGAAACTCGGGCAAAAAACAATGAAATGGCTCTATTTTTTGTGAATTTTAGGACCGCCTATTTTTCGTCATGGAATATGTCAATGGAGGAGACCTAATGTTTCAGATTCAACGTTCACGCAAATTTGACGAGCCTCGCTCCCGCTTCTATGCAGCAGAAGTCACATCGGCACTCATGTTTTTACATCAACATGGCGTCATCTACAGGTACTTTTCTTTCAGAGGTTATAAAAAAAGAATTATTAAAGCTCTTCATTTCATTGGTGTTGGCTAAAGTCCAAGGTCTCTTAGCAACCGTATTGGCTGTTAGTTTCTGCTTGCTAACACAGAATTTTTTTTTCTTACTCTTTTTGAGGTGGGGAGAAGACTGTTTATCATTCTGAATGTTAGCATTTGAATCGTCTCTGCAGACCTTGCCAGCTGTGGGTGCCAGTTTTGTATTATAAAACAAGCAACGCTTATTTTAAAAACTTGGCACGCTGTGACCCATCGTTGACTTTGGTTGTGGATCAGGGCAATCTCTTCAGTTTTCTTCTTCTGCCATGGATTTCCTTTCATTTCGGAACTCCCTGCCACTTCCTGGGTTTGTTTGTCTTAATTGTCTCCAGTCTGAGATGGGATAATCATTTGATGAGGCTTTGTACACAAAGTCTTGATGGTGAGGGTGAAGGCTCAGCCACTAACAGGAAGAACCTCTTTGGAGACAACTTGAATTTGTTCCCTGTAGCCCCTGATTGGCATCTGGCTGAACAATAACAAAATCTGAATTGCTAACTTTTCTTATGCCATGAAGAATACACTTAGAGATAAATATTTATTATTAGAAACAAGGAACTTCTTAATACATTTTCACCTATTATCTCTCATATGTTATTAAGGCCTTTATCTTGTCGTTTCACTCTTCCTCTCCTTCTTTTCCCTTTAAAACAAAAACAAAGAAAAGAAACTGGCAGTTTTTCATGACTTCAGATAAAATTTGGCAGGCATATACAGAAGAAACTGCAGTAAGGGAAGTTGGCTGTGGGATCACTTCTCTTTCATGAAGTACTTGAAGAAGGCAGTCACAAAGCACTATTCACAGGGAGGTTGCTGCAGATATACAGTATCATTGCCAACTACCAGTAAAAATGAAGCAGAAAAATAATACCTGTTTGGAAGCACATAGTAATATGTATTGGAAGGGAGAGAAAATTAAGAATTTGTTGCTTTTCCTATCTGTATCTTGTCAGCTTGAAAGTCAGTGTACTGGGAATTCAGTGTCATGTACGTCAGTCCATTTATTCCTTTGAAAGAGAGCTAAGCAACTTAAAACTTACTACAATATTTTAAGAGCAAAATAAGTCACACATAATACATAATACACACTATATTCCAGAGAAAAAGAGGAAGAGAAAAATTTTAATAAGGATTCTATAAACAGTATTTTATTCCCCCTCTTCGTCTTTCAGTTCTTTTCAGGAAAAAAAATCTTACCCTGGTACGTAAAAATTCCTAGAAAAATTCTGATTCTGTACTTACTTTGGAAAATTTGATTTCTATGCTGTTGATACTTCCATTTCCCAATCCCTCTGAAGCAATTTGAAGACAATATGTATTTGTATGTGTTTACATCACATACTCAGAAATGCTGAGAACGAAAAGCAAAAATAATTACTTTCTCTCAAATTGCCAAAAGTCCTATAACAACAATCCCCCTCAACTCCACATCATATAAAAGGGAACTACAATAAATTATCTGCATCTGAAACACACTCACTTCTTGTGTGTTCATATGTCTGTCCATAAAAAAGTTTGACCACAAAAAATAGATCATATGAGGAGGCAAGGCTGAAAAGCTGCCAAGCCACCATTTCCTTTGAAGGATTTGCTAATATGGTTGCAGCCAAAGAACTAAGAAGTGAGATAAAACTAAGATTTTCTCAAATGGAAACAACTGTTATGCCTAAGAACCACAGTATTTCAGGGCACAGACTAGTTTCTTAGCAGTGTAACATACAATATAGCTGAGCTGAAAATAAACAGAACAGAGATGAAGTCATGGAATCTTAGAAACATAGAACCAATCAGTAAAGAGCAAGTGGAAGTGTTGCCTATATCTTTTGTGTTGTGTACTCAACACAAATAAATTATTTACAATCAAAACTTTTTTTAAAAAAAATGGCCTTGAATGTGTCCATGACCTATTTTCGATTTAGTGCTACTGTACAGAAAGAATATGGCTGTTTTTAACAAAGTTGACAAATAGGATCTGCTCCTATCTGTCAAAATTCCCATCGCTATAATTAAGAAGCAGATAGCCAGCTGCCAAACAAAGTACCTCTTCTCTGCATTGCCTGTGTAAATGCAAAGATTACTAGTCTTACTAGTAGTTGTAATTCAGTGACATCTGGAGTGCCAAAGATTGCATTCTCCTGCTGAGAGAAAGGATCAATGTCATGCAATGTGGAAATTTCCATGAACATTTTCTTCTCCAATGGAAAGAAACCAAGAGTGGCTTTTGTCTTCATGCCTTTTCCTTATATGATGAAAAACTAGGGGACTGGCAAAAAAAAAAAGAATTAGTTGAGAATTTCAGTGTTGTATCACTCTTTATAACAATAAAATAACTCTCTGATTTTACTGGATTTTACAGAAGGAAGAATATCTGTTTAAGCTGAATGGTGTCCATTAAACTGAGGATTTACTGGTAGATATAATTAAGGAGAGGTGGCCCATCAAGTAACCTGATCTCAAGCCATTGTAGGATTTTAAAGGTGATAGTCAACACCTGGAAGCAAATCAGTAACAAATGTTGTTCCTGCAAAAGAGATGACACTCTCTTTGGATTTGCACAAAATCATGTGCATTTTTGAGCCAACTGAAGCTTCTGGTTACTCTTCAAGTGCAGCCCAATGTGTGCCCTATTGTATGTATTACAATAGTCCAAACAGGAGGTGACCATGGCGTGGATGACTGTGAGAAGGGTCCTTAACAAATATCAAAGAAGGAAGCCATTTTTTTCATTTCCTTGAATTCCGAGCACTTCAGAAGATATGATTTTTTTTTTTTTGAAAGAATGTAACTACAGCAACTCTGGCCCTTTCTCCCCAAATAATTTTGCATTACTGGTATCTCTGAAATATAACTGACACACATAAAAAATGTTTAATGTGGATGAAGGCTTATTGTAGGATGTACAAATAGCAACTACTTTTCAGGTTGCAGTCACCATAGCCTGGTTCTTGAGAACAGATAAACAAGGAAACATAAACCTCAAGGATTTTTCATGAATGTAGAGCCTTTCATATATTGATGCCAACTGCAGTTCTTCAATAGAAGAAAGATAATAAATTGAAGTACACATGCCTGGAGGTCACAGTCATCAAAACAAGATTTAGCAACTCCATCTGAATTAGCCCAGTAAGCCTTTGGCTGAGGTGACATTTGAAGAAGAGTTTTCTGGGTTCCTAGAATTTGGCCCATTCCAAATTACCTTCCCTTTGTACCTCCAACTGGAAAGGCTACTGGAGAGTGGCACTTGTGCCATTGTAAGAGCTATACCTTCCTTAATATTCATCTGCATCATGTAAACAGATCATCATGAAAATAGGGACTTGACATTAACATGGGAAGAATAGGGTGGGCCTTTTGTTAAAAGGGAAAAGGAGAAACCGAAGAAGGCAACCAAGAAGCATGCCAAGTTTACATTCCTGAGAGGGCAGTCGTTTTCCTGTAGAGTTTGTAGGAAGGGGACCAGTGCTTTCTGCCTGATAACACTAATTCTACGAAGAGGAAGTTGGGAAGCAGTATTTATCTTCTGTTTAAACGTCAATTATTTTAGTTTATTTGGTTGTTATATTTACTTAACAAGAAACTAAAAATGAGCCTGTATTCCCTGGCTGAGCTGAAAAATATATGTTTTTATATACAGAAAGGGACAGAAGCACATATGTCTTATTTATTTATACACACACACACACACACACACACACAAACACACAGAGAGAGAGAGAGAGAGAGAGAGAGAGAGAGAGAGAGAGAGAGAGAGAGAGAGAGAGAACTTCCCTTTAATATTTCTCTGGAGAATAATGAAGACTGCTTGTGAAATAGTTTGGTATCAAGAGAACTGAAGAAGAATTACATTTCTTCACCATACCTAGTAGTTGACCTTTAAAATTTTGAGCTAAAATAGTATTTTTGCACTGATATTTTTTATCATCAGGAATTTAAATATTTACTGTGCTATGCCCATTTCATCCAGATGCTTTGGAACAATTTTAATCTTTTACAGTTAAACACTTGTATGGCTTGAAATCCAGATACATTGTTGGTAATCTACTAGTAGTGATTAGGTGAATAGAGGATTAGTTGCAAGATCTTCTCTTTGGAATAACATACTCATCATTGCTGTGGGCTAGAAGTAATAGTTCAGGCAGCAGCAGAAGTGAGGCCAGAACAACTTAGAACTGTTTTTGCTTTCCTCACAAGGATCCAAAATGAATGACAGTAGGGACTGGTTTTTTTTTCCTGCAACAATTTGAAATATCCTGACAAGAATGAAGGCAACCTAAGTATTCTTAAGGGGTCTAGATAATCCACTTCTAGACTTCTCATCAACTGCAGACAAACTGTCTTCTCAATAACCTTCCATAAAATGGGAAAGCTGGAGATATGGTTATAGTTACCTAAGAATGTTGGGTCCAAGAGGGGCTACAATACTGTCTCCTTCAAGGGAGAAGGCACTACCCTGACTCTCAAAGAGGCCAACATCACACATTGATCTAAACCTGGCAACTCCCTGGCTGCTTTTGTAATCAGGAGGTGGTCAGGTCCAATGAACATGTGGCCAAACTGAGAGCACAGAGAATCTTGGCCATTTTATTAATAGTCATCAGTTCAAACTTAGATCATATAACAAAAGCAGGCACTAGGCACCTCAGCTGGACTGCCCAGTTAGAATTCAAACCAGAGCTGATTTACATGACTTTATCTATCAGAAAGTCAGAATAGTGGCTGTATAGATGATCCTGCTGGCCCTCCCTGACCTTTAGGAGACTGAGTCACTCTGATCAGTGTCTATGTAATGTTAGTTTTTGACACAGTTAGTCATGAAGGACTATGGCGCATTATGTCGAAGTTTGGGTGCCCTGACAGGTTTATTCTGATGGTACGACAGTTCCATGATGGCATGGTGGCTCATGTTCTGAGTAACGTTGGAGCCTCAGAGG